CGACGTTATCAATGTTGACCAGCTACTAATGTCTGAACATTTTACAGCCAGTATAATTTTTTACCGTGTACCTATTAAATATCAACAATATAACAAAATATTTCGTCATTAGAGTTTCCTGAATGACTATTATTACATAATCAAGTTCAAGTTCAAGGTTATATGACTTACTATGTATATGATAATAATACGACAATAAATCCGAGACGAAAGAACGACATAATTTGAACCAATAATCTCGCAATAAATAAATATCGATTGTCGCGTAATTGTTATTACTGGTGGAATGTAATGTTATTTGTTGTTGGACATGATTAAAATGATGCAAGAATATTTTCCATGCACTGATTAAGTTTCCACAATAACTTCCATGACTAATATCTCTATAAAATACCCATCTATCAATGTTAATCTATTTATGTTTATTGCAGAATAAATATTCATCTGATTACAAGTAATGCCGAGAGTAAACCATGATAGATATCCATGGTATCCATTTTGGAATTCATTTACTAGATAAGAACAGGGCTCGGTACAGGGTGATTGGTTATATTCAACTCAATAGCAATCTCAGTTAATATTGGTCTTAAAGAAACGTCCAAAAAGGCAAAAGTGAAGTATTTTTGAGAGTATTTCCTATGGGCATTCAGAATCTATTTCTTAAAAATGGAAGCATCAAGAAGCAAAAAAAAAATGTTTCTAGAAGGTATTTTTTTAATTTAATACCCTGTATATCATTTTCCCAATCGATCGAACTCTTTCTCCTGATTCAGAATATACAGGGTGACCCAGGGTTAAACCGCCAAACGTTAAGGGTCGGTTATTTGGGCAAAAATAAGACTTTTTATCTAATGAACATAATATGTCCTAACTTGCTTTGCTTTCGATATACAAGGTGTTATAGTTTTCAGAAAAAATCGGTTCTTCATTAATTACGGCTTGAACTTGAGGCAGATTTCGATGAAACTTGCTATGCTTATTTGCGGTGAAACAGAGCTCCATTTGATGTAATCCGAATTAAATTATTTCCATTGGCGTCCAGAAAGTAATCAAAATGATATAAGGATATTTTTGTTTTATTATTTTATATGTTCATTAGAAAAAAAGTCCTATTTTTGCCCAAATAACCGACCCTTAACGTTTGGCGGTTTAACCCTGGGTCACCCTGTATTAACTTCAGGTTATCTCTGTCAGTTTACGAAATAATATAATATATTCTAAGGCGCAGCTGTAGAAGGCCAAAAATCGCAGCGTTTGGGGTTCAACACCTGCCTTAGATCTATACCAAAAAATCTGAATTTTTCATGACTGACAGAAGAAAACCACAATGAAGTTTATACAGGGTGTCTCGTTACACGATGCCCATAGCTTGAGGGAATTTCAAGATATTGTTTGTCACAAGAGAAGATCAAGACAAGAAATAATTTTAGATTTCAAGACAAGACAACAAATTTCAAGCAATACCCTTGAGTATATACACTAGTGTGAATAAAAACTCAAAGGCAATACCAAGATTTCTTGTCAAGAAAACATGAAATCTTGAAATTTATTGACTAAATGAAGAGTATAACTTCTATATGGTCTAAGTGCCAAAAATCTCGAACCGAGATATTCACTAAAAAATGAATATCATAGTATTAAAACAGATGAATATCGGTTTATATTTTTATTTTATTTTGAGAAACCCAAATAAACATTATAAACGAAAAAATAACTGAGAACAAAACGAACTATCCTTGAAAACATATTAAATGTTTGAAAGTTTAGTAAATGGTCCAAGTGCCAAGAATGTTTTATTTTCAAACGGTCTTACAACTGAAGTCTATGTTCCCTCATGATCAAGGTTTTCTTCAGTTAGACTTGTTCAGTGGTTTCAGCAATCAAATTTTCATAGAAACCAAGATATGCCAAAGGAATGTAATCTAACATAGACCTCAAGTTGTCTAATTTTTCTTTCGTGATACGGTTAGCCTTCCAGTAATGGGATCGGGACTAATCTGAAAGTGGCAAGCTGTTTTCCTTTCTTCAGAACCGAGTTCAGAACATTACAGGTTTCCCACGGTGCTACGCTATACTGATCGATTTTCGAATAGATATCACAAAAGGGTTATCTTTTGGAATTTTCAACCAGGATGCTTGAGAAATATTCCACTTCCACTTCACAAGCTGGCGAGTGCGCGACCTGGATGCCTCGGTATACCTACTGATGAAATAAAAATTGAGATGACAACCCTGGCACGAACCCTGGCACGAAATGCCAGGGAATCACCATTTACGGTGTCACCGATCAATCAAGAAATTTCAAGATCATGAAATTTCTGGAGTCAAAACAAGAAATGATATGTTCAGAAAGGGGACAAGACAAGATTTTTCGAAATTTTTTCTCGAGACAAGACAAGAAGTTGTTATCAAGACAAGAATTCTTGTCTTAGAGACCCCTAAAAGAGCCTTATAAAGTTTTATCCAAAACTCTATAGTTGAGGAGTTATGAGCACTATCAAATTTGACAGAGTGTGTAATGCACACGTAATGAAGCAAAGAGAAGGGAAGGAATTCCAGGGAATTCCAAGGAAACAAAAGGAATTCTGAGGAAATCCCAGGAAACAAAAGGAATTCTAAGGAAATCCCAGGAAATCCAGAAAATTCAAGGAATATCAAGGAATTCCAAAAAAAATCAAGGAATTCTAGTTGTTTGTACACCAGAATTATACCACACTTCTCTGGAAGAATTCCAAGGAGATCCAAAGACTCGTCCAAAGAATTCGAAGAAAATCCAAGGAATTCCAAGGAAATGGAGTAAAATACTCGGTAAAATATAATCAATCACCGCGCCAATCACCCTGTAGATATTATTTGTTTCTTGTTTTTGAATTGATATCTAAATCAGAGAACAGTAGCGGCTAGTAGATTACACAAAAACGAAATGAAATGAAGGTATATTTTGAAAAAATAATTCGGAAGATAATATTTCGGAAGATAGTGAATTTTATACAACCCTGTTCGAGACGACTTTGGTATTTTTTCAGATCAGAAAAAAATTATCATTTGTATAATAATATCTTGAATAATATATTCTTTGGAGGCCAATAGTGTTTATGACAGATTAAAAATATGTTGTCAAATTATAATCGAATGATCGTTTAGTTGAAGCGAGGTTTACAGGTAGGTCGTCTAGCCAGGTAAAAAACCTCGTAAAAAAACTACTATTGTTTTCAAAATCAGAATTATATATATATTGTATATACACATATAGAAGGAAGGGAAGTATTTGCTGACCAGTTAGAGATAAAACTAATAGTCTAGTGGGGGATGCAGCAATAGTAGCAATAGTAAATGTGTACACATTTAAGTTTGTCCGAGCTTTCGTAAATGTATATTTCCTTCATCAGGGTAGACTACAAAAATTGGAAGTATTATAATTAATTCACAATATTGAAAAAACTTTATCACTTACACTCATTGAGAATGGCTCGGAGAATGGTTACTCTGTAAAATTTGTAAAATTGTTAAAAATAACATACTGATAAAACAAAAAACGAATTAAAAAAATTATATAGTTATAAGCATGGTTAGCTATAAGAGGCTACCGAGGAGGCTACTTATTACCTCATGAATAAGTTTGAATTTTCAAATCCAACGTGGTTGAAACGATCATTAACGAATTTGAAAAATATTTAAACTGATTCTCATTTTTCGTTTCCTTTGGTTGACATAAGCAGGTCGTTAGGATTCCTTCAAATCTCAACCCAATGGAACAGAAAAAGATGAAGGTGAAACAGACTAACTAACTAATCTGACAGATCATGAAATACAACAGAATAAACTCGAAAAGCTTAAATATGAGGAATTTTAAGAAAAAAAAACTGTATGTCATTATTAGGAATTATTGATGTCCTAGATGCTATGGGGAATTTGAGATTGTTTGGTTAAGGATAGAAATGAGTATATTTCGCTCAGATGTTGAATATCAGTTCTTTTATTAATGCAATTGGGGTTTTGTGAAATGAATGCCATTTCTAGGAAGGATCTTTTAGTGATATTATTTTCAATTTCTAAAATTCTGGCTGAATCATAGTCCATACGGTGATCCATTTTATTCGAGATTCTATTGACATGATCTGCAAGAGGCAAGAGCACATCTTTCCGGAGCGATTTTAGATTGCATCCGGTGGTGAAAAGTCTCTAATTATCTATTGGTACCATCAGAGCATACCTACTATCAAGTCATCCATGTATCTAGATATATAAAAATTCAAAAATTGTTTCATGGTGCGTAGATGTTTGTGCTCCAGATTATTCAAAAAAAAATTCAGCAAGTAGAGGGCTCAATGGATTTCCGATAAACAAACTTTCTACAGCACTAGCTAATGTACAATATAGAACATACCATTATTTACTCCTCATCAAGACGTACAGTGTGTTTTTTCTACCAAGGTAGTTTTCTTCATTTTACTATGGTCAATGAAGACATTATTAGACTCGTTATTAGAATATGAATTAACTGTTCTGATGCGAGATTCGCAGGAATAGAACTCGAATCTAGTAGGTATAGGTATTTATCAATAACGACTTGTCATAATATGTTGTCTGGGTCATGAGTACCAAATTTGAATTAGAATTAAAAAAAAGGGTTGTCACAGTGACAAGGGGTCCATATTTTAGTTTTACAAAAATATCAGCTGAAGCTGCGAAGCCTTGGGATATAATGTTGATCCCTGGGTCTAGATGATATTATATTTACTAGCGTGGTGTATAAATAACTATTGTGAAGCACAAAGTATATTTCAACAGAATCAAAGTTCATTCTCGTTGTTAACCAATCTTTTCCTATAAGATTTTGTGTACCCAAAATTACCCTCCTCAAGACTAGAAGCCGTATAAACACCTGAACTAATTTCTTCAGGAGTGCATTGTATCATTGATTATATACACAGTTACTCAATGATTTTATTCAAGTCGATTCAAAAGTTCACAATAGCCGCAAAGGATCGATATCTAACCTTTCCTTCCCAGTGGCACTGTGTACGTCAAATCCTGGAACTCAATATCAACGGGAGGCCGTTTCGGCAGATAGCACAACGAAGTGTCTTTAGAAGACTTGGTCAGCTGTGAGGCCATCTCCACTTTCACTGTTCCCGCATAGATAAAGAATTGTACTACGAGTCCAAAAAAAAATGATTGAGCGAGCGATCTATTCCACCGTCTAACGAATGTGTCGCTATCGCTCGATTCGATGTTCGATGCAACACTGAACACTAACTAGTCACTAGTCACTGTCAGCGACCGCAATGAGGTTGTTTTGTGTCTAGTTTTATCGGTGTACAGTTATCCGTAGCGCGAGTGCACAAAAGGGGGAATTTAATGGGGCCAGCCCTGCAGCAGCTGCAGTCGAGGCACAGATTATTTACCTTATTTTGCGCAGGTCTGGTCTCTCGCAGAGGCGGATCATGTTGACTGCGCCCTAGGCGAGCATCTCATCGGCGCCCCGCTGGTGATGATGAAATATCCCGAAAAGTAAACCGCGGTGGAATTCTGGTGTACAAACAACTGAAATTCCTTGGAATTTCCTGGATTCCCTTGGAATTACTTGGATTTCCTCAGAATTTCTTGGATTTCCTTGGAATTTCCTGAAATTCCTTGAGTGAAGTGCGTTATATTCCTGGTCTAGAAACAACTGGAATTTCCTGGAATTCCTTGGAATTCCTTGGAATTCCTTGGAATTCCTTGGATTTCCTTAGAATTTCTTGGAAATTCTTGAATTTCCTTACAATTCCTTGGAAATTCTTCGATTTCCTTGGAGTTCTTCGGGTGGAGTGCGGTAATATTCTGGTGTACAAACAACTGAAATTCCTTGGAATTTCCTGTATTTCCTTGTAATTTCTTGGAATTCCTTGGAATTTCTTGGATTTCATTAGAACTTCTTGGATTCCCTTGAAATTCCTTGGATTTTCTTGGAATTCCTTGAATTTTCTTGGAATTTACTGAAACTCCTTGGCTGAACTGCGGTATATTCCTGGTTTACTGGAATTTTTTGGAATTCCTTGTATTTCCTCAGAATTCCTTGTGAATTCTTGGATTTCCTTGGAATTCTTCGGATTTCCTTGAAGTTCTTAAGGTGGAGTGCGGTATATAATTCTGGTGTTCATACAACTGGAATCCCTTGGATTTACTTGGAATTCCTTGAAATGCCTTGGGTTTCCTTAAAATACCTTGGGTTTCTTTGTTATTCCTTGGATTTCCTTGTATTTCTTTGAAATTCCTTGGATTTCCGTGCAATTCCATGGATTCCATTGGAATTTCTTGGATTTCCTTGGATATCCTTGAAATTCCTTGGATTTCCTTGGAATTCCCTGGAATTCCTTGAAGTTTCTTGGAATTACTTGTGTGAAGTGCGGTATAATTTTGGTGAACTGGGATTCCTTGAAATACTTTGGAATTCCTTGTGAAATTGAAATTTGTTGTACACAATTTTGACCGCGGTTCACCCCTCGGGATATATTATTATTAACCCATTAGCGGCGAGAATCAAAATATCTAGTATCAGTCATTTTTATACATGGGATAGTGAAAGAAGCATAGGACCACAACATAGTCAATTTCGTTCATTTTGTTTTCTTTGAAATTTTAACTCAAAATTTGGTTTCCTCATATGGAACCACTAGATGCCTTCCTGATAATATTCTAATGATTTTTGGTTAGCTCTAGCCCGTGCAAAACTACTTGAAACAATCACCACAGAATCCTAGATTGCATTTAGAGAGCATTATTGTTCTGCCTCTACTTGTGCAATGGGGAAGTTTCTCCAGATGAATTTTCATAAAATGAGTTTGGAACTCTCCAGTTTACTGTCCACACTTCACAGAATTGCGACCGATAAAGTCCAAGTCGTTTTCCTTTTTCAAATTAAAGCAATTTCTAATTTGCGGGGTGGCAAATTGTTACGTACATTATGAATCTAGTCTGAAAATAGCTGATGGTGAAGAATATAGCTATCGAATAGCTAACGAATAGCTTACGAATGAAAAACGAATGAAAAACGAATGAAAAACGAATGAAAAACGAATGAAAAACGAATGACAAACGAATGAAAAAAAATAGAAGACTAAAACTGGTAAACATAACCACAAATGCACTTGGAGCAAGAATGCAGAAGGTAGTTGGCTCCATTCTGACATGTTATGGTTTTGTTATTTATACATTGAAATATCACGAATAGAACTCGATCCTAAAAGAAAATATCAATGAATCAATGAATCATTATCGCCTACATTCAATGATACTCTCCTTCCTAACTTCCTGCCATCGGTCCTAATGAAGCCGGCACCCCTGGCTCCTTTTTCTTGTTGTCAGTATTTTGAGTGGTGTAGACGGACTAGAAGTATTAGGCGCTATTTCAAGAGAGAATCTGCAACTTTCTTAGAAAATAGATCCGTTTTATTGAGGAACGAATTCATTAGCATAACTGACAAGTTATGAATAACATATTGTAATAAAACGATAATGAAAGATTATAGGATTTTTGTATCCTTTCTCAATTAAAATTGTTAATTTTCCTCTTCAATTATATCTGCAATATGAACCACCTCACCTCAAATTCTTTTATAGGTTCCTTCAATTTCAGGAAGAGGATAAAATAAGATATATTCACTTACATCAGCAGAGGGCTTGGAATACATCTCAAATTTCAGTCCCAATGAATAAAAGAGGCTGATGGTGATTTTGGTGAATGATAGCAGATTATATTTTTGTTCTGCTGAAATTTGATAAACGAATACATTATTTTCGTTTGGTAAACGAGAGAAGAGAAATTGTGAGGTTAGGAAATCCCAGCAAAGAAAAAGCCCAGAACTTGCTACATTGTTCGTGGTTCATGGTTGTTGAACCACAACCTTGAATTTCACCTACCACAAAGTTCTTTATTTGATCTAGAATGTGATGACGCCGAGGATGCCTGAATTTTATCACGTTGATAGAACGTTATGATAAAAGGAAACACTGATTTTTAGTAACATGATATATTTTATATGCAAGTTGCATCTGTTTCAGAACGGTGTGATGAAACAAAGTTCTTTGACTGATCTCTCTCGTGATAAAGCTGAGACATGTGTGGTTAACTGGGGTCTAGATTTTTAGAAAATATGTTTTTTAGGGGTACTGAAAGAAGTCAGTGGCACCTTGTTGTCTGAAACCACTAGAGAAATAATAATTCACTGTGACAAAATAATCGTATATCTCATAATTGTTCGCTTGTTCTGAAATAATTATTGTAGAATGGAAAGAAATGTATAATGAAGGAAATTGATCAACATCACATAATTCAAATGATTAGATAATTTTATCGAATCGTCAAATGATATAATTGATATTCACGAATGAATTTTAAGCGTGTTCCAAAGTACCTATATATACTTCCATTTGCCTAATAATTATATAGACGACTGTGGGTAATCAATTTTGATAATGACATATGAAATGTGAAATATATTACTGATAACTGCAATTTACTTCCTTTCAACCGTTGATTCATATATTACGCTTACGCTGGGTTTGAATATGTCTATAAGAGAAAAAGTATACACTAATCATCACTAATGAAACACACGTACTCATAATGTTGTTCATATAATATGGGCTCGTGTTTTTTGTCATCATTATACGAATCACCAACCAATTCGATATTGTTTAGGTTAGGGAGAATTGAAAATTATCTTGAATATCTTTTAATATGACATCGTAATTAATATCATCACACTACACCTTTCTCATATTTGATTCAGAAAGTATAACTTGTGATTTAGTTGAGTAAACTCTTATTCAGGAAGTGTACTTCATGATTTGGATAAGTTATTTGTAGAGTATATACATAAAAAATGGGTTGAGTTTCATAAAACAAGGTGAATACGTGAAAATTTTAATGTGTTTGTTATTATTGCATGTATACTAATTCACGTATTTACTCACTAATTCATAATTATTCATTTGCTTTCTTATTTGAGAAGACAAGTGTCAATCGACTTTCATGGGATAAATAAATACTACTAATTTCATTACTCTTATAAATATCTAACAGTGTCCTTTTTGAAATCTCATTGAATTAATATCAGAATGAAACTCTGTAACTCAATTTTTTGTTATTCAAACAAAAGGTCGTTGTCGAGTAAGGTATCTATATGCTCCAAAAATCATCAAAAACCAATGTCATATTATTCCCTTGAGAATTCCACTACTTACCTCCTCTCCCTATCCTTTCTAGGGGTTGTAATGTTTCATCACACTTCAAATTGCGATTAAATCGACTGATCACGATTTAGTGCAAATCGGCCGAATCAATTTGTTGAGCCAGATTGATGTGACGTATTTCCAAAATGTTGATCCCACTTCGATGAATCCAAGAAAGGGAAATTGCGATTGAAGATTATGATTTTCAGATAAGTACCTACTTGGATCATTTGAGGATCAACTAGAAATTGCAAAAGACAATCCTAATCCAAGACCTAATAAGTTTGATATATATTATTTTTCATATTTGATTCCTTTGTGACGACGATCATGATTATTGATTGAAAAGGAATATTCTCAGATAAATTATGGACATACAAATATGGATATATATTTATATGAAGCAATACATTGAGAATTCGCATTCTCTATGTGATGAGAATATCTACTCTTTTTCGGTTTATTCAATAGAAAACAACTACTTTTCTGGCTTTATGCCACGACGAACATTGAATTATATCTATTGAACACACACGATAAGAGTTTGAAAATAAAATATAAAAACTTCTGAAATTGAGAATTTGCATTCTCCTTCAGACAAAAATATCTATATGCACACATCATTCTGAATATTCAACAGAAAACAACTACTTTCCGGGCTATTTGCCACGTCGAACATTGAATTATATCTGATGAACATTCAAAAGGAGAACATGAAAAATAAAAAATAAAAGCCTCCGAAATTGAGAATTGACATTCTTCTTCAAATCGGATGAATAATATAATGTATAATGATATAGAAATATAACTTACCAATATATTCAGCATTGAAATGAAAATTGGAATGTATAGGAGAAGTATACTGGCATGAACTCTGATCTTGATGAGCTCGAAAACTT